TGGACAAAATATATTGTGCTGTTTTGATAATAAATAAATTATTATTTTATAAAAGACGTACGTGTATATATGTATGCATATGTAAGACTGAAACTAATTAATATAAGACTGAGACAATTGTTTCGTAGCTGTTCACTGAGTGAGAGAGGTCTAAAACCCCCCCTCACTCAGTGGGGGGAATCCAAAGGGGAGACTCAAAGGATATATATATATATATATATATACAATTGGAGGTGTTTCTTCGCAGCGGTAGTCACTTAACATGACTGCATGGATGGCGTAATGGTTTAAGCGGTCACCTCGCTGCTTACTACTACGGTGAGTGTTGAGGGTCCGATCCCCACATGGGACGACGCTTTGTGTGATCCAAAAATTGTTGTTTTAAGTCTGAGTGTTCTTTGTGTCCGTTTCATGTATGTTTGTAAAGTCCCCCGCGATACAGGATATATTCCTAGTGCGGGAATTTGTCTTCAAAAAAAAAGAAAATAATTTAATACCTACGTTATTTTGATTTAATTTGATATTTGGGATATCTTCGTTTGTCCCTGTACCATATAAAAAACATTATTGTATTCTGCTTGTAATGTATTATCTTGATAGGTAGCTAAATATTATAAAACTTTTTTATTATTGTGGCATCTGGATTACAAATAAATTTTAACGACTTGCTAATTTAGACCTTACCTGGCGTCTTAATTAACTTGTGCAGAGGGCATTCTTTGTATTCATAGCGCGTATTTTAGTAGTTACATGTATTTAAAGAAGACATGTTATTGTGACATTACTTGAAAACCACTCAATTAAGCTACAAGCATACAGAATATTATTGAAAGCTATGTACAATGAGAGTTCAAGTTATACTGGTCAATGAAATACAACAAAACAATTAAAACTGAATACCCGACCGTCTCATTGTCGAAATTCAACCTTTAGACAGTCTCAGTATGTTTTTCTTTTTAAAAAGACAACTCCCGCATTAAGAATATATCCTGTGTCGCGGGGGACTTTACAAACATTCATGAAACGGACACAAAGAACACCCAGACTCAGAACAACAATTTGTGGATCACACAAAGTGTCGTCTCAAGTGGGGTTTCAACCCACAACACTCGAAGTAGTAGGAAGTGGCGTTGCGACCGCTTACACCACTACGCCGTCCGAGCAGTCACGGGCAGTTTTATTAATACACTAGCTGAGACCCGCGGTGTTACCCGCGTTTGTTGTTATAACCGCGGGCAACGCCGCGGGGCGAAGCTAGTCTAAATAAAGTAGCTTAAGTTCCTCCTTATGTCATCAGCTATCTGCCAGTGAAAGTCCCGTTGAAATCGGTCCAGCCGTTCCAGATATTACCCGGAACAAACAGACAGAGAGACAGACAGACAGACAGACAGACAAAAATTGTAAAAAATGTTATTTTGGCATATGTACCGTGTAAACATACATGTGCATTTAGTAAGAAGCGGTTATTTTAATATTACAAACATACAGTCCAATTTTATTTATTTGTATAGATATTAAAAGCTTAGTATGAGATCATTGTATGTACGTTGTTCAACATTTGTAGATTTTATCAAAGTATTCATCAAATCAGAGTCCACGCTGGCGAAGTCCAAGCTTGGCAAAATTACTTTATACAGCTTTGATTGAAAGTCCCAGCGCGCTCCCGGCTTCTAACTGCTTTAGTAGAAATGTACGTGACGTGGATTAGTTTTTCCGGTCCCTCTCAAACTCAAGGGAAATTCGGTTGAAATTGGTCAGTGTCACAATACGCATTTCACAAATTTAGATAGTTTGGTTTACAAGTTTGACCTCTTTTTATTATAATCTGACTTCTAATTAAAAAAAAAAAAACTAAAAGTTGAACGTTTACGTGTGGTGACGGATTAAGAATACGTAGTGTCACCACCCCTATTCATCCCATGGGTGTCGTAAGAGCCGACTAAGGGAGCAAAATACGCAAGACAACAGCACTGCAAAGAGAAGGAAAACTTTAAACAAACCTTATACCAACCCATCTGGCCAGCATGGTACTGTAGGCCAAAACCTCCTTTCTAAGGAGAGTTTTCTGAGGACTATTAAAGGCTGTTGACATGATGATGTGATGTGAACGTAATTATATATTTATGTAAAAGCTATTTAAACATTTGAGGACTCTCTTGGTCTAGTGGTAGTGACCCTAACTGCCAAGACGGAGGGCGTGGGTTCGATTCCCACACAGGACAAATAATTGTGTAATGATCACGGTCATTTGACTTGTGTCTGAGTGTTATTTATCTACTACGAGTAAATGTACTGTATATATTTACTCGTAAAAATATTTATCAGCAGTCTGGGTACCATAGTACAGACCCTGCCTGTGAGACGCGTAAAGTTATTATTAAAAAAAGACCTTTGCTGCACGATGGTTTAACATCATCATCATCCTATAACAGTCCACTGCTGGACATAGGCCTCTCCTTAGAAAGGAGGTTTTGACCAACTATAGCACGCTTCCCAGACGGGTTCGTATAGGGTTTGTTTCAAGTTTTCCTTCTCTTTGCAGTGGATAGTTCAACGAATACCGAAACAAAAATTACTTTGGGAAGATTGTCACTATGTATACATCATAAACATTTTATTTATACACAAAAAAAAAAAAATGCAAAGCAGAGTTGGGTTTTTAACTCAACTTCTAGACATTATAGAATTGAAATAGGCTTTTGATTTTTTTTCAATCTTTTTAAAATTTTAGGAGTTTTTAAAATAGTTTGATATAACCTATGTTTTAAATCTATGATTTTACCATAGATTTAAAACATAGGTATTACGACTTTACGAGGAGAGGACCAATTCTGCTGATCTTCATCTTGCTACTAGATCTTCACGAAATATTGACAACAACTTACCTTAAGTGATGTTATTTTTTTGCTAACTAGTATGGGAATAAAAATAACACAGCAAATAACAAAATTAACAATGATTAACTGTATATAAATGTTTTTTTTGACTACCGTGGTGTGGTTCACTCCGAATTCCTTCCAGAGGGAGAAACAGTGAATAAAGAATATTATTTAGGCGTCATGAAGCGTTTGCGTGAGAGTATCCGCCGAAAACGTCCAGATTTGTGGCAACACAACTCATGGATGCTGCACCATGATAATGCACCATCACACCCAGCCATTATAGTGAAAGAGTTTTTAGCGAAAAATTCAACAAAAGTTCTCGACCAAGCACCGTATTCACCTGATATGGCTCTGTCTGACTTTTTTTTATTTACCAAGTTAAAATTACCACTTCGAGGAAAACGTTTTGAGTCGATAGAAGCCATAAAAGAAAATTCGCTGAATGAGCTAAAGGCCATACCGCAAATAGCCTATGAAAAATGTATGGAAGACTGGGTGAAGCGGTGGAGATGATGTATTGCAAGCGATGGGGCCTACTTTGAAGGCGATAAAATAAATTTAGATGAATAATTTGTATTTTTTGTTTTATTGACAAATTCCCGATACTTAGTACACCGAATGTATATCCTCCCTTACGTAATACACACACTAACACACACATATAGGTACAATACTACAAGAACATAAATTTTAAAAAATGAAATCTTAGTCATAAACTCACAGTATCTCAGTACAAAACTGCTACATAAAAAGCTCTCTCACCCTCATTACATAAAATAAACAAACAACAAACGCCCAAGTAAAGTCTAAGAGCGAAACACGTTTCGCATTCCATAAAGTATCAACGTTATTTTTTAAACAGAATGTTTTCACCTGTTCTGAGTCGCCTTTTGAATTGCGCACTAGGAAATATCTGAAACGAGGTCGAAATGAGAGTCGACGAGTACATTTCAACAGTTTTTAAAACTCCGCTGTTAATCCGTGAGAGGTATTCAATAGGTATATATACGAGTACGTAATTAGGTTCCATGAAAGACTACGTTTGAATAAAATACACCATTAAAACTTTAACGTGTTATTGGTTGACTTAAAAATGAAATCATTAAAACTCTTATAACCTAAAACACTTCTTAAAATAAACAATTAAGATTTTTAAATGTGAGAAATTTACCTCCTTGCGGAGTTGTATGATAAGTTACAAAGTTTTTACCGAAGGAGAGACATGCTTCGGCACGAATGGGCCGGTTCGACCGGAGTGATACCACGGCCTCACAGGAAACCGGTGTTAAGCAATTTTTTCCTTGCCTTTCACTGAGTGAGTGAGGTTACCGGAGCTCCAATCCCCCTCCCGCTGACTCGAATGGGAGGGACTCCAAGGGAAGCAACGCACTTGTGACTTTTGAGTTGTAGGTTGCAGTTGAGGGCGGCGGTAGTTGCTTACCACCAGGTGACTCGTCTGCTCGTTTGCCCCCTTATACTATAAAAAAAAAACAATGTAATATAATTAGATGTAGATACCAAAACGGATTATGTTTTGTGCATTGGTTTGTTTTATTATACAACCGATGGAAAAATCTCCTTCGATACAAAAGAAAATTTCTCCAGCATCCTTAAGATATCTTGGCTGGCACTTCTGGCTAACTATTTTACTTGTAAACTATTCTGTCCTTACTTCTCGAAATGTGCACAATGAACTAGCAATCCTTTTTTACTGGGCCTCAATTCTGCTATTACGCCAAGCCAGTGTCATACCACTGACACGCTATTGAGATGCCATCGAGTAGCCATTGGCATCGGTATAAATATCGGTAGTTGAAAATATATTACGTTTTTTGAGGAAATGATCTATTTGTTTTTAATAAATTATTAAAAGAAATTAATTCTTGTGAACCGAACAAACGTTGAAGTTGATAACTTTAATCAATATTTTATGTGATTTTACTTTGTCCACAGCCAGAAACTCGTGCCTTCAACGCCACGGGGGTGCTCATAACGAACAGTTCCTGTGATCCCCAGGCCTGCTTCATCAGTGTCAGGCCAGAGAGGGGTACTGCTAAGTACATGTGCGAAGTGTCAAGTGAAGGGCCAAGGTTCGCCGTTGACAAGCGATCAGCAAACATGAGTTTAGCTGGTAAGTCAATTTAAAAGTTATTCGAGCTTAATGCTCTAGACTAGGTTGGATTCGAACCTATTTGGGTTCGAATCCTACCTAGTCTTCCTCCTACCTACCTTGTTCATCTTTCTGACGCTTTAGCCATTACATTCCATCCATCCATCAGCCAGAAAAAGTATTGAAAATAGATAGTCAGTTTTATTCCAATATATTAAAAAAAAGTGTAAGAATAAAGAAAAAAATGGGGATCCCTCACATCAATATCCGTATGACCAACGGCTATCTAAGTTTAACATGACCACTTTTTCTAATTGCAGACGCATTTTTGACCTTTGTTTTCTTTGATAAATAAAATAGTAATACTATACAGTACAATTATCTATTAGAAAAAATATCTTTGAATATTCCTCACTCTTATCCCAGACATAAAATAACTAAAATATTCCACTCACAATTTTCAAGAACTAATTTAGGCCAACATTCACCCATAAATAGAGTCCCAAACCAATATAATAGTATCCAATCTCGTGATCCAAACATTGACATCTTTAGCCAATCGTTTAATGAGTATAAAACTAAAATAACAAATGTTTTGTGTCCATTAACCTCAACCCCAAACATATTTTAATTACATATTAAATAGATTTAGAATAGTATTCATTCAAATAGTTTATTATTATTAAGTATATTAAGTATACTTGACTGCCTCGGTGGTGCAGTGGTAACTTATGCGACTGCTGTGCTGAGGTCTCGAGTTCGATTCCCGGGTCGGACCAAATGTTTGTTTCGGAGTTTGGGCGTTTTCTATGTATAATATGTATGTATTTACAAAAAAAAAGTATGTAAGTATTCTATTAGTCAATCTAGCTTTCATATTACAAGCTCTGCTTAGTTTGAAACTAGATGGCGTTGTGTGTCAATGTCCGAAAATATTATTATTATTATTACTTCTCTTTATTAGTTTACTATTTTTACACTCCTACATTATAGTTTTTAAATAAAAAAAAAAAAAAAAAGTTAATGCCATGTACACCTGAATTGTCATACACATTAGGTATAACGTCACATGTTGTCAAAATTAGTTATAAGTATAATTATGTACTACGTGGTAGTACTTATTAATAAATCAATAGAAAATAAAAAAATCCATTCCGTATTAGTCACGGTGATACCGATACAGCTAGGACCAAACGACTTGATATTATTTCTTTAATAGAATTGTTTTTAAAATTGTCATTGTACAGACCAATTTCTGTGCTACCAGCACTTTCTAAAATTTTAGAGCGAATAATGAACAAAAGGTTAAAGGGATATCTGGAATACAATAACCTGCTATCTGATAGACAATATGGTTTCCGTAATTCCATGTCGACGGACGACGCAGTCCATGACCTTACTAACTGTATTGCTGAATCACTAGATAAAAAACAGAAATGCCTAGCAATCTTTCTTGATTTGGCAAAGGCCTTCGATACTGTCTCCCACTCTAAGTTATGCATCAAATTAGAAAAAATAGGCATTCGGGGGAATCAACTAAAACTGTTCCAGAGCTATCTGAGTAATCGCACACAGTGTACTAAAGTGGGAAAACACACTAGCTCTGAAATCCCAGTGTTATATGGCGTTCCTCAAGGGAGTATCCTCGGGCCGACGCTATTCTTAATATATGTTAACGAGATGTGCGACCTTGTCCTGGAAAGTGGTAAAATAGTAGCCTTTGCAGATGATACCGCATTGATTTTTAAAGCAACAACCTGGCAAGAAACTTATCACGCAGCGCAACTTGGATTCAACAGAATTACACAATGGCTAACAAATAATAGACTTACCTTGAATGTCAATAAAACAAACATAATGACATTCAAAATAAAAAATTCCTTAACAAGTAACCCCCACCATAAAATTACTGTCCACACTCACGGAGTTTGTAGTGATGTTTGCAACTGCCCTACTCTCAATCAGACATCCGTTGCTCGCTACTTGGGTGTTATACTCGACGACCACTTATCGTTTCATCAACACATTGACAGTTTATGTGGTAGAGTACGTAAGTTAATGTATGTTTTCAAGCATTTAAGACATGTTGCCGATCCTAACGTTATAAAGATGGTCTACTACGCGCTTTGCCAGTCTTTACTGGGATACTGCATTTCTGCTTGGGGAGGAGCATCAAAAAGCCATTTAATTCACCTCGAAAGAGCCCAAAGAGCAGTGCTCAAAGTCTGCACTTTCAAACCTTATCGTTTTCCATCTAAAAAATTGTACGAGTTTTGTGAAGTGCTGACAGTGCGCCAGATTTTCATTCTGCAAATAATTTTAAAGCAACACATCTCTAAGAACAAAATTGAAAGACCACTATTAAGTGTACTTACTCAGGCGCGTAGAAGTCGTAAACATAAGATCCCATTAACCTACACTTGCACAACATCTTTCGGTCATAAGTTCTATTTCTTCTTGGGACGTTACTTATACAATAAGATAAACAACCTTCTTGTTTTTCATAATAAAACCAAATTTGAAACCAAAAAGATACTTACAAGTTATCTCCTGACCCTCACATATGAGGACACAGAGGCTATTCTACACCCTCAGATATGATCATGCACCCCCCCCCCCCCCCTCACAGACATACACACACATTCTCACATACATCACAAATGCATTATTACATTTATATAAATTGATATGTAACTATGCATGTTTTGGTATTAATAAGTAAGACAACATACTGTGTAAATTAATTTACAACTTGTACAGGGCAATTTTAATTAAATTATGTATATCTGCATTTAATAACTCAGTGTCACTGGAAGGTAGCTGGTACCTATATCTCAGGTTTTACCTTTTTAGGTACCAGCCGCATATTCTATATGTAATTGTTATAGCTAAAAAAATGAGCGCCCATTTTATCACTATTTTCTGTACAATTTACCTTGAATGAATTTAAATTGAAATTGAATGTAACAGGAATTAAATCTTAAAATTTCAAAAAAAAAAAAAAAAAAATGTTGGCGCGACATCTTCTTTTGAATTCTTCTTTTGAAAATATAACATATCATTCTGTTTTATTTAATTTAATCAAATTGTAAGGTTTTACCAAATAAACCGTTTTCGAAAAAGTTCAAAATAAACGAATTTATTGAAGAGTCCTGAAGCCTCCCGTTACTGAACAGTCAATTAAAAATAACTTTTGTTACAACAGTTTTACCCGAATACGACCCTCTAATCACCGGGTTACCAACCATGGTGCAAGTCGGTGAGAATGCTCTGGTGAACTGCACATCAGACTACTCGCTGCCAGCAGCGACCATCGACTGGTTCGTGGATTCAGAGCCTCAAGAGGTAAGATATAGCAATAGACTTTGATAAAATACTTAATCGCAGTCGATCTGACGTTAACGAGAACTGATTAAAAGAAAGTGCTTACCATGGGAGAGCCATGCTACGGCACGAATGGGCCGGCTCGACCGGAGTGATACCACGGCCTCACCTAAAACCGGTGTTCATAAATTCTTTCGTTGCCTGAGTGAGTGAGGTTACCGAGGCCCAAATTCCCCCTCCCGCTGAATTAAGCGGGAGGGACTCCAAGGGCGGCAACGCACTTGTGACTTTTGAGTTGCAGGTGTCCATTCGCAGCGGTATTGTCCATCAACGTCGTGCGCGACCGTCCTGCGGGGTGACAGACGCTGGCGGGGGCGAGGTAATCAAGATGTCAGCGGGTAGCGGGTGGTGTAGCGGGGAAGAGAAACGCTTCTCTTCGTATGTAGCCGTGTGCTAGAATGACGCGCTACCTCATCCCCGCCTCTGTCTGTCACCCTGCGGGACGGTCGCGCACGAGATTGCCGGGTTATCGTTACTTACCATCCGGTGACCCGTCTGCTCGTTTGCCCCCTTATACCATAAAAAAAGTTCTGATCAACCTTAATTCTTGTCTTGACTAAAATCTAGCTTTCGTAACGACAGTAAAGATGTTTATCAGAATAATTCAGATTATTCCGACGACTGGACATAATTATGTGCATTTATACAATAAGGAATAAAATAAGAATTGAATTCTAAGTTTTAGTAAAGTACAGGGATGGCTATTTCTTGCAGTGGACGTATGGTTTAAGGGGCCAAACGAGCTGACTAGTCACGTAATGGTTAGTGACAACCATCACTATTGGACACCTTTAAGTCCACCATCAACAGAATCTAGGTAGGGGAGGGGGTTAGGGCCCCACTCATTCGGTGAAAAGTAATGATGAAATTGTTTACCACTGGTTTTCTGTGAAGCCGTGGCATATCTTCGAGCCCATAAGCTCACCTCACACATCTCACACACGGCTGTCTGATCCCAAACTAGGCAGAGCCTGTACTATAAATACATATTTTAGATAAATTACACCCAGACACAGAACAAACGATCATGCTCATCACACAAATATTTGACCTGGGTGCGAATCGAACCTACGACCTCCGGTTTAGCAGTCAGGGCCACTTACCACTAGACCAAAAGGACCGCCCATAAGCACCAAAGTATTTCTCTCCTATAATTAAATAAATTTAAAGGGACCCTTCATTGGTTGAATTTAAACACCTACGTTATTTTGATTGAATTTGATATTTGGGATACTATGTGTAAAAGTAAATCAGATTAATCAGTGTGACATGATACAAAAAGCCTCTCGGCTCGGCCATATGCATATTTAAATTCCATCATCATCAGCCTTTAATGGTCTACTGGTGGACATAGGTCTCTTCTTAGAAAAGAGGTTTTGGATTACGTTACCACGCTGGCCATAGGGTACGCTGGATATAGGGTTTGTGTCAAGTTTTCCTTCTTTTGCAGTGATGCTGTCATGTTCAGTTTGTTCCCTTAGTAGACTCTTACGACACCCACTGGATGAATAGGGGTAATTCTGTATTCTTAATCCGTCCACACGGTTAAAATTTACCAATGATAAATTAATGTGAAACCAATACAAAGATATCAAATGTATTGACATTGATTTCTTTTTAGCCCACTCCACCCCCCACTCTTCAACCCCTCGTATAATGCTTTGTTTAATTTAAATAAGCAAATCAGACCCAAACATCCGGACACAGAACAATCCGGGCACAGAACAAATAGTTGTATGTAGTTCACAATTGTTTGTCTTTGGTTGATTTTAGAACGGAAACTTGACGGAAATAGGTTTTACAATGTCCGTACTTTGTTTAGAATATCAACACCAGATTATGAATTTAAGGTATTTAGTTTACACATTCTAATTAATGTGCAAGTATCTTTAAGGAAAGGTTTGTGATATCTTTTATATATAAAATTTATGGACCTGTTGGCTTAGTGGTTAGTGTTCGTGACTACTAAGCATGAGGTCAGGGGTTTGAATCCCATCCAGAACAAACAATTGTGTGATGAGCACGATTATTTTTTGTGTATTTGTTAAAAATATGCACGTATTTAGAACTAAATGTAAATAAATCTCTTTTGGATCTTTATTTAATTTAATTTAAACTTCGACTTTATAAGTCAAAGTATTTTCTATGGTGGCAGCACTTTGTACTATGTTGATTCATCACACATCACATCATCACATCAACAGCCTTTAATAGTCAAGTTTTCCTTCTCTCATGTTCATCCAATAATTAAAAAAAAACACTCTGGCTTTGTACAATAAAAAGTTAACGGGGTATTTTTAAGGGAGGAGGTTATGAATTAGGATGTTTTTTTTATGTAGGTATGTTCGCGCATAACTCCGACATATATAGACGGATTTTCAAATTTTTTTTTTTCTTTCTTTGTTTGAAAGGGGTTTTTCCGAAATGGTCCCATTTAAATTTCATATAGATCTGATGATGAGGTAAGTACAGACAACAGCACTCCTCAAAAAATGACAGCAAAACAACTGCGATTGCTGCTAGGTTTTAGTGCTCTTCTTTAGTATTGTTTAAAGTCGATTTAACTTTTTTATAATCACTTTGATTTTGAGTTAGATTATAAAATAAAAATTTCACATTGTAAAACTATTATTTAAAGCAATAGCTTCTAAACATTTCTACTTTCGTGTAGAAGTAAGTTATGTTTGCAGGAGTAATTTGTGATATGTTTCTTCATCATCATCATCATCATCATCATGTTTCTTAGAAGAATAAATTTCTTTTTACAGAGTAACGACTTTGTTTTTTGTTGTTTCAATAAACAACTTATTACATATATAGGTACGTTTTACCAGTAATATCTATTTTTTCGTTTCTTTTAAGAGATAACTCCCGCGCTATGAATATATCTTGTGTCGCAGGGGACTTTACAAACATTGATTTAAACGGACACAAAGAACAGCCATACTCATGGCAACAATGTGTGGATCATACAAAGTGTTGTCACATGTACGTGTCGAACCCCCAACACTCAGCGCAGTAGGAAGCGTCGAGGTGATCGCATAAATCAATACGCCATCCGTGCCACTCAAGTTTATTAGCAGTCTGGTCTGTCACAATATTGGCTTTGCCTAGTTTCAGATCGGTAAATAATGCGGCAAAAAATGCGGTAAATAAAAATTAAATACAGATCTCGTAACACAAGGTCGTATTGATCCGTAAGGATTCAGCCTCTTTTTATGCAGTATGAGAGCTAATAAAAATTAAATGAACTCCATCAAATTACCTTGTATACCTAAAAAGATCTCGTAGTATTTTGTGTGCAAAGCATTGCTAAGACATAATCGACTTTTTCCTAATAAGTTTAAAGTTCTTAAGCTTATATCAAACATCTATTTTATTTAAAAGATATTTCTTTATCGGGAAGCTAGGGTAATGTATACGTTACCCTATCTTCCTTGAACTACTTCTTGTTTCATTCCAATTTGCCTACTTTTGTCACTTCTAAAAACTTTAAATCCTAAGAAGGCCGGCAAACAAAGAAATTAGCCACAAGATTTTCATGATATTTTAGTAAAAATAAACGTCATCTTTTATTCGGTTAATATTTTCGCTATGAGTAAGTTGTTATTTATTTTATCTGTGCACATACAGTTAGTTGAAGGTTAACGATAAATATTTCTTTGTACGTAAAAGCTCAGAGGCATAACGCCAGGCTGTTTCTTTTATTGGAAACCTATAACCGTTGTCATGAAAGCTGACGTGACTGAGACTCTTGGATTGAAAGAAGAACCTGAATACAATGATTATTGTGCTCTTTAAAATGAGCGAACCTTGTGTAAGAGCCTACGTTACGGATCCGGTATCATTTTCTTATTCAAATTAGACATTTAATCTGTTAATAAAACATTGCAATTTAAAGGAGGAATTTTTAAAGTATACATTTTTAATATAATATATTTGGAACTTCTAATATATATATGTGTGTGTATACCCACGGAATAGTAAAAGTATATACACGCATATGCACGCATGTACGCACACACTGCGTGCGTGCGTACATGCGTGCGTGCCTGTGTGTGTGTTTGCACTTGTGCGTGCATGTCGATCTTTTGTTCTCCCAATTTTGACACCTAATTGCAAAAGTACCCGTTTAAGGGTAACAGGATTGCCCCTTATAAGGTACCTAAGTGTTGGTAAAATTCTTTGACTCCTCTGATGAGTAACTTAAATCGAATTGTACCCTTTTTTTAATATTTACATAGAATTTATTCGATTTTTTTTATTTTTTTTTTTTTATTTTTATTTTATTTATTAGGGACAAAAAACAGTTATACAATGCAGTCTTTACAATTGATTTAGCATTTACATATTTAAAACGTATAACCCACACTATTGTCCACGAGTTTACAGATAAAGTAGAAAAGGTAACGGACGCGCACTATACACAATCGGTGAATTACATGTAATAATATAAGATAGATAGGTAGTTAACTGAGAATGTTATCATAGATCAGCAAGAATTTCAGTGGCAATTTTTTTAAATTTAGAGTGAGTGAGAGCGAAAATATCCAAGCTCGTAGCATGTGAGTTGTACGTTGTCAATAATCGGCGAAGAGGTGCACGCTCTCCAGCATTAGTTCTACACTTCTCCGTGTAGAATAACCGAGGTACGCGCACCTCCCTCCGAATGACAGACCTGGGTACTACATAACATAGCCTGTTTGATAATTCTGTACAATTATACTTGTTATTGCATATGCCGTACAGCATCATTAACATTAGTAAGATGCGTCTATGCTCCAAGCTTAAGAGCTTAAAATGTTTCAGAAGATCCACATAAGGAATCTTAGCATGAAAACATTTGTAATAAGTAGTACGAAGAAATTTTTTCTGTACCATTTCAATCCTCTGCTTATATTTCTTATAAAAGGGGCTCCAAATGGGTACAGCATACTCTAACTGGGAACGGACTAGTGCTTTATATAGGAAAAGGTAGGTAGTGGGCTTTTTGAAGTCTTTACAGGAGCGCATGACGCAACCATACATCCGAAAGGCTTTACTTATGACATTGTCGACATGAATATCTAAATGTAATTTAGAATCTAGATGAACACCAAGATCTCGAGTACATTCGTTTTTCCTTAGACTTGTGTCATTCAGTGTATATGGAAAGTTAATAGGACTTTTGTTCTTTGTGAAGGATATAAAGTGACATTTTGGTAAACTAAGGTGCAGTTTATTAACAACACAGTACTGTGAGAGCCTACAAAGATCTTCTTGCAATAGTATGCAATCCTGAGTATTCGTGCAGGTCTTATAGATTTTCATATCGTCAGCATACATTAGGAATTTAGAGTTAACTATACAGGTACTAATATCGTTTATAAACAAAATAAAAAGCAAAGGGCCTAGTACTGAGCCCTGGGGCACTCCGGACTCGACGACCATAAAATCGGACTCATAACCATTGATAACGACCTTTTGAGTTCTACGGAATATGTATGATGTGAACCACCTAAGTAAATTACCTCTGATGCCGTTGAAGGCAATTTTGTCCAAAAGCAATTTGTGGTCCACCTTATCAAAAGCCTTTTGAAAGTCAGTGTATACAGCATCAACCTGGATGCCCTTATCCAAGTTCTCAAATAAAAATTGGGTAAAGATCATTAAATTTGTAGTAGTAGAACGGGATTTAACAAATCCATGTTGTTCGGGAATAATAAGATGACTTAGTTGAGGAAATAATTGACCGTGTACTAGACTTTCAAAAAGCTTAGATAAGGTGGACAGTATGGATATGGGCCTGTAGTTTTCTATATTACCTTTGTCTCCACTTTTATGAACTGGTATAACGAAAGCTCTTTTCCAAATGCACGGAAATACCCCTTCCTTGAGACATTTGTTAAAAAGTATATACAAAGGAATGTGGATACATTGCGCTGTGTGCTTAAAGAGCATAGGTGGGAGACCATCCGGACCTGGCCCCTTAGTTAGATCTAATGACAACAGTGACTTTAATATAACATTCTTATCGAGATAGATGTCAGATATGCAAGAAGATATCTCAGCAAGTTCATTGGGGGGTGACCAATTCTGAGCATCTAAGGTAGATGATTCATAAACCGAGCTAAAGAATGTGGAAAATAATGAGCAGATTTCTTTGGGATTGTTAGAAAATATATTTTTATAACTCATGCTAGCTGGAAGTCCGCTGTCCTTCCTGCGTCTAGAAATGTACGACCAAAAGTGCTTAACATTGAGAGGTATGCTATCTTCAATAGATGATATATACTTATTGAAACATTGTTCAGATAGTTGTTTAAAATGTTTTCGGTAGATGGAGAATTTTTCATAATCAGATAGGTTTCGAAGTTTTTTCCACCTTACCCAAGCACGTTCTTTCTGTTTGAAAATTTTAATGAGAGGAGCACTAAACCACACAGGAAATGCAGTTGATGTAGATCAACTAGGTAGGTAGTGGGCTTTTTGAAGTCTTTACAGGAGCGCATGACGCAACCATACATCCGAAAGGCTTTACTTATGACATTGTCGACATGAATATCTAAATGTAATTTAGAATCTAGATGAACACCAAGATCTCGAGTACATTCGTTTTTCCTTAGACTTGTGTCATTCAGTGTATATGGAAAGTTAATAGGACTTTTGTTCTTTGTGAAGGATATAAAGTGACATTTTGGTAAACTAAGGTGCAGTTTATTAACAACACAGTACTGTGAGAGCCTACAAAGATCTTCTTGCAATAGTATGCAATCCTGAGTATTCGTGCAGGTCTTATAGATTTTCATATCGTCAGCATACATTAGGAATTTAGAGTTAACTATACAGGTACTAATATCGTTTATAAACAAAATAAAAAGCAAAGGGCCTAGTACTGAGCCCTGGGGCACTCCGGACTCGACGACCATAAAATCGGACTCATAACCATTGATAACGACCTTTTGAGTTCTACGGAATATGTATGATGTGAACCACCTAAGTAAATTACCTCTGATGCCGTTGAAGGCAATTTTGTCCAAAAGCAATTTGTGGTCCACCTTATCAAAAGCCTTTTGAAAGTCAGTGTATACAGCATCAACCTGGATGCCCTTATCCAAGTTCTCAAATAAAAATTGGGTAAAGATCATTAAATTTGTAGTAGTAGAACGGGATTTAACAAATCCATGTTGTTCGGGAATAATAAGATGACTTAGTTGAGGAAATAATTGACCGTGTACTAGACTTTCAAAAAGCTTAGATAAGGTGGACAGTATGGATATGGGCCTGTAGTTTTCTATATTACCTTTGTCTCCACTTTTATGAACTGGTATAACGAAAGCTCTTTTCCAAATGCACGGAAATACCCCTTCCTTGAGACATTTGTTAAAAAGTATATACAAAGGAATGTGGATACATTGCGCTGTGTGCTTAAAGAGCATAGGTGGGAGACCATCCGGACCTGGCCCCTTAGTTAGATCTAATGACAACAGTGACTTTAATATAACATTCTTATCGAGATAGATGTCAGATATGCAAGAAGATATCTCAGCAAGTTCATTGGGGGGTGACCAATTCTGAGCATCTAAGGTAGATGATTCATAAACCGAGCTAAAGAATGTGGAAAATAATGAGCAGATTTCTTTGGGATTGTTAGAAAATATATTTTTATAACTCATGCTAGCTGGAAGTCCGCTGTCCTTCCTGCGTCTAGAAATGTACGACCAAAAGTGCTTAACATTGAGAGGTATGCTATCTTCAATAGATGATATATACTTATTGAAACATTGTTCAGATAGTTGTTTAAAATGTTTTCGGTAGATGGAGAATTTTTCATAATCAGATAGGTTTCGAAGTTTTTTCCACCTTACCCAAGCACGTTCTTTCTGTTTGAAAATTTTAATGAGAGGAGCACTAAACCACACAGGAAATGCAGTTGATCTACGTCGCGTGAGTGGAACATGTAATCGAATAATACCGTATAAATATTCATAAAAAACATCTACTGCTCGGTCACTGGTGAGATGCACAAATAGTTTATCCCAATTTACGTTATTTAGTTCCGCAATTATTCCTTGGTAGTTAGCTTTATAATAATTATATTTATTTGCGCTTGGACGCTTCAAAGGTGTGTACTGTGTTTCCAGTGAGGTCAAGATAGAAAATGGGGGATGGTGATTGTCAGGCTGGAGTAGCGCGATATCAGACTCTAATTTACATTCGGTATTACTGATGAATAAGTCTAAAATGTGACCCGAGCTATTTTTGATGCTATTATATTGTATAGCATTCGTAGTGGAAATCAGATCAATTAGAAACCGGCTCACGTCATTTTGCACCCGGGTAAATAGGCGACTACCGATGCCCGGCCATTCAATTCCGGGGAGATTGTAATCACCTACTAAATAAAATGAATCCGTGCATGGCTCAGTAAGAATAACTTCTAAGTCGGACAAGTGAGACATGTACACACTATCACGCGTACGAGGCGGTATATAGCTAGCGCTTATTATGTGGTGCCGGTTGCGACGCGACGCAGGTAACTTTATTATAACATTCTCGATGCCGGTGAGAGAAGGACGTGTTATTATTCTTGCGGGCCGCAGCTCACGCAAAACGGCAATGAGGATACCTCCCCCTTCACGCTTGTTTGTAGCAGTACGGTCTCGATCGTCTCTAAACACTAAGTAGCGGTCGTCTATAAATTCATTATCCAATATACTAGGTGTAAGCCATGTTTCAGATAGTATGATCACATCAAAGGATAGGGAAAGAATATTGTTATAAAGTGTGTGCAATTTAGTACGGATTCCTCTACAGTTTTG